TCTATTCAGTGTCCCCATGGATTATGAGCGGCATTTTCCTATGTCTGACGAAACACATGGAGGTATTCCTTTGTTACTAGAGTCAGAGAAGTCACAGTCCACGTCTAATTCATTTGCATTTTTGCTGCTATTTACACCCGAAAACGTAGCGGGTTAACTGAAATACGAGGGAAACAAGGTACAACATTTGTTTAACAAGGAATTATTAAGAGCTACTTGATAAAAATTCAAGGCATTATATGTTTGTAATAACAAAGCTGTTAAGATACCATGGTAAAAAAAAAAAAAAATTAAACAAGACATAAGTATAATAGAAATACAGACAGTTCTCCAGCAGGGTGGAGACGGCATGAAAGTATCATTATAATGAATCTTAGTAAAGAGAGTAAATTGCTTTTCTTCCAATCCTATGGTAAACATTTTCCCCTTGCTGTTGTTGCTTTCGAATTCAGTTTACATTGCAACACCTCAGTCCAGGGACTTATGCTACAAGTGCATGCAGACGGCCAGGGTTGGCGGCACCCCAACAATCAATACATCAGCGGTTGTGTTAAAAGATACATTTGAGCGTAACAGAAAAGAGGATAAAGAAGTGTTTGATTTTAGTATTTGGTAATGAATCACTGTTTAAGGCCCTGGTACACATTTGTACTGCGGATGTCGAAAATTGAAGTTTTCAAAATGAATAATAAAACTGTATGAAATGAATTCACTGTTTAAGGCCCTGGTACACATTTGTACTGCAGATGTCGAAAATTAAAAATTTTCAAAATGAATAATACAATGGTAGAAAAATAAATTCACTGTTAAAGGCCCTGGTACACTTTTGTACTGTAGATGTCGAAAATTAATGTTTTCAAAATGAATAATTCGAAATATATTAATATAAAGTCATTGTTTAAGGCCCCGGTACACTATTGTACTGCAGATGTGGAAAATTTAAGTTTTCAAAAAATATTCAATAAAGCCATTGTTAATGGCCCTGGAACATTATTATACTGCAGATGTTTGAATGTTGTTTTCTCAGCTTTGGAAATTCAATTCATGTTTATCAAACAGAGTTCATCAAGTTGTGTATTGCAGTGACAAGGCCCTGATACACGCAGATTAACACTGTTGTCTTGAATTAACATTTTTGTTTTGAATTTATTTACTGTGTACGTTTTGCAGAATTGTTTTGGGTTGGTGGGTGAACATCTTTGTTTAACAGCACTCAGGCTCCATCCTTTTATTGTGGAGCCCTTACCCAACCGCTGCCTGAAGTCAAAAGCATGAAATACAAAACGATGTACAGGTAAAGTAGTGGAAGCTACTCATGGGGTATCCTGAGTCCACAATGTGTCGGGATTATCCGACTCTAACAAGCTTGTATAAGAAGGTTGTATAAGAGTTCTAGAAGAGAACAATGTCAAAAGAAACCTTTTAATTTTATCAGCTGTGATAAATAAAAAAAAAAAAAAGTGTTGTGGAAATAATGAATCATTATATGTAATGAATTGTGTACTTGTATTTTCCGTAAGGATATATAGGGTTTTACGTTTTTCTAAAATTGTTGATATTAGTTCTAAGGTCGCATATTTCTTTTTATGAATTTTATCCAAGTTATTAATTGCAAAGATAAAAACTGATGTTTATAAGCAAGGCGCCTTTTGTGTATATGATCACGTACGAATTCTGATACTCGTCCGATTAATATGCTACTTGGATATTTTTTTTTTTTATCAGATACATCAGAGACGTCATTAATTTATTTTTAGTTAAAGATAGTTTAGGACTAAAGATTTTATAAAATGTTGGGAAAATGGTTTGAGGTCAGGCGGTGATACTGCTGCAGCCAGTGTCAGTGATCGTCTTCTTAGGAAACATGAAGCATGGAAGTCGTAAAATGCAAAAGAGTTATGAACACGAAAATGTACAATCAAAACGTTCTGTTTTGATAAAACAGTTGGCTTTGTAATCTTTATTTCTTTTCTTTCTTTATTGTCGAAACTGCACTTACGAGAGCGCTTCTGTACCTACCTATATACGTGTTGTTATTTATTTCATAAATTATTTATGTTCGTTTGAGTGGAAACGAATAAGAACATAAATGTATTTATTGAAGTTATCATAACACGTGTATCAAACGGACACGTGTTAATCTAGTGTATATGAAGAGTGTCGGTCTGATTGGTTAAAGTATTTATAGAATACCTGTCCTACAGGTATTCTGTTAAAGCACGCACGCTTTAGCGTGTGTAAGATTTAAATGCCATTCGAAGGCTCTTTCTCAGTGCAGTCAGACATTGCCCCGCCCACCCACCCTCATAAGTATCATGTTTGTTTTATTAATTATATGTTTTGTTTTGTAGATTGGATGAGTTGTCAAGGAGGAACGTTGAAAATGTATATTTTGTGTATTATATTAAACTGCACTTACGAGAGCGCTTCTGTACCTACCTATATACGTGTTGTTATTTATTTTATAAATTATTTATGTTCGTTTGAGTGGAAACGAATAAGAACATAACGGAGATGTGCACAAGTCGATACCCAATCCCAAAAATCATTCAAGTGTAACGAGCGCATTGGGGGTATACATCGTTACAATGAGACAAGGTATCTGAAAGAAATATGGCGGAATACGGCTATATTTGGTATGAAACAAGTCGTACATAGATGAAAATGTTGCGTTTTTAAGAATTCATGTCAGCTTTAATCTTCTAAAACAACTCCAATATTAAATGTGAGCATGGAGCAGTGTCTTTAGAATATAATCTTTCAATTTCGGTCTAATAAAGTGATAAAGAAGCTCTACAGTTTTTCCGCTGACGAGTTAAATTTTGTGCAGTAAACCGACGAAAACCACGTGTAGCCATTGAATCTTAAAAACATGGTAGACTGTTATGCTTTGGGACTCTTTCACTTGATTGGAGAACGGGCGTGACGAAGACATCGTCACGTGTTGAAAATTGTCTTCCATATAAGGTAGTGGTCTCGACCTGTTTAAAGAAAAGCATTGTGAGCTGTAGCATGAGATAAGATAACTATAATAATAGTAATGCTTGTTTTTGATTTTGGATATTATTCGAATTCTTCTTAACTTGGAGAGGGTGGGGTCTTCTTTTCGATCTTGAGGTATTTTTAGTCGGAGTTTTGAAAATCCCATAATCACCTTTTAATACTTTTAAAATCTATCATTGTTTAATCAAATGTCGAAGTATTTAAACCACTGTATTAATTTTTCTTTTATATTTTCATTCAAAACGTACAAACGAGCGAACATTAATTTACGGCAAAGATACACACAGTAATACACTCCCTTCGTGTGTAAAGGGAGGGGGGCTGAAAAATAATGGAAAAGAAGTAGATACTACACAAAAGTTTGATAAAGGTAAAGAAAAAGAGGAATCCAGATTCCAAAATCGAATAAAATCTATTAAGTAGGAGTGGAAGTCAAACTTTTACTCATAGTGACATAAAGGCGGAACAATTTTTAGGGAGGGGGGGGGGGGCTCAGATTTATCTCAGAAAACAATGTTTCACCCCTGCCAATGATACTACCTTCCTGACATGTATGTGTATTTCTAGATTTCGCGCTAAATGCTGTAAGAAATATTCTTATTAACTTATCGATAATTGATCAATACATGACGTGTACAAATACGTAATTATGCACTTCAAATGTAGAAGTTGAAATGAAGAAACATTTTTATTATATTTCACACGGATTCTTTCGGTCTTATTATACATTTCACAAGATTGGGAGATGACATCCAAAGTCAAAAATCATTTTCTTTGTTGCATTCTGTTATAAAGTATCCGAATAATTTTTCCGAGTTGATGAAATGTGTATCTTATTATAAACATCTACTACAATATTGATTCGTTTTCTCTTTGCAATAACAATGCCCCGGAAAATTGCGATTACATGTATATGAATTAAAACATGTCCCGGAAAATCGTCAAAGGCCACGGTAAAACATAGATGATATTTACCAAAGTCTAGTGAGAACTTTGTTTTAAATTTTAAAAAAAAGTGGTAAATTGTAATTTTCAAATACAAGCTACATGTATTGCTTAATAAAGTGAACACATTCCGGATTTATTCACCTGTGAAGGTATGGATTACGTGACATATTATCTATTCTTAATAGGTCAACAACAGGTTAATGGTATGTAAATGTGCTCACCGATCAGATTCAAAATCCTTATACTTTTACATGTGTAAGTAGAAAACACAGAGAGCAAGGTTGTTCAACAAAGATATTTTCACACAATTTTTTTAGATATAATATTCACATTATATTTCGATCTCGACGTTGAACAAATCTGCGCTCGATGTCTACGAAAGCCGCGAAGTGGGTACCTGTCACAAATTTCTTTTGATATTCATGAAAATCAAAGAACCCCACCTTCAAAACACAGCTTCGCGTGTCGTCTATTGCAATTATTTGATATTTTTAAACCCTGGCGCATAAACTACAGACATAAGAGAATAATATAATGTAATTTTTAAGGATTTTAATGATGGTTGAAAAAATTGACGAGTAACCGGGGACCACAGGTGATGCGTTATTGAGACTTTTTCTTTGTATTGTTTCATGGACTTCCGACCCTGAATATTGTTCGTTGTCTTCGTATATTTTATCTGTAGAAACTGTTATACATTTTTTTTCATATAATTCTACACATGTATTAATAAAATTTGGCTCTTTCAGTACAACAATTCTTTTAATATTTTACAAAAATAGGTTGAATTTTAAGTGAGGATTCAATTTTGGTATTTTTAGTGAGGATGGCGAGATCGCTTAATTTAAATATCCCTTACAATTTATGTGAAACTAGAGGTTACTATTATAGTACTATATGTTAAAATGTATTAAAAACACTAAAACTATTTTAAATCATATACTAATTGTAAAGGACAAAAGAACTAAATTTGCACTGACTCACAACGAAGACATATAATTTTTCACGTTTTAAATTGATAATGTATAAAATCATTCAATCATTTTTTTTTATGTGATTCTTATCAAACGTTTAAAAGCAGAAAGAACAGTTTTCTTCCTTTTCATGGTTATGCGTTTTTGTCCATGTTTGCATAATATTTCTTTCAGCTTCTCATAAAAAGAATTGCAAAATTCATTCCTTTCACTATGATCTTTAGAACACACAATATATCTTTCTCCTGTCTTTGTTAGAAATTTTTCAAACAATTTATCCTGTTTTGATAGTCCTTCTATCTCGTCTTTTACTACTAAGTTTTCAGGTTTAGTGAAAATTATAATTAAGTGTTCAAATAGTTCATCTCCAAAAAGTTCCAGGACATTTTTTAAAAATGTTTTTCTCTCCTCTGTATATCTTGTCATTGGGAACACAAGTGCAACCGCATGAAAATATTTTCTTTCATAAACAATAGTATCAACAGCTTCTTTTAAAACCGGTGTATCGTAAAGAGTGATCAAGTTCTCACTCATGGCATACTCTTCTCTGTTCATTTCTAAAATTAGACAATCATTTTTTTTTTCTTCGTGAGTGGAATTTTTTTTCACATTGTCTCTAACAGGATCCATTGCTTTACCCTCATTTGTAGCAGTTTGATTGATGTCTTCTGATCTATTGGGTATAATAACTCTTTCTGACACCTTATTAGATAAATTCTTTTTATCGTTAATTGTCCTTCCACTTCTTTCATTGCCTTTAGAAACTTGTTTTACAGCTGAAAATGTCTTCATATTTTCTGATTCATCTTCAGTTTCTTCTTTGGCTTTAGGATATTGCTCCTTGGGGTTCAATGTCTCAATGTTTGTTGATTCAGTACCTTGATGGTTAGATTCCTCTTCAGTTTCTTCCTTTGCTTTAGAATCTTGTTCACCAGCGTAAAATGACTCAATTTTTGCCGATTTACCTAATTTATCGTTGGGTTTCTTTTCATTTCCTTCCTTCGTGTTGGAGTCTCTTTCCTTAGAGTTCAATGTCTCAATACTTGTTGATATATCTACTTGATCGTTGAATTTCTCTTCGGTTCCTTCTTTGCCGTTATAATCCTGTTCGTCAGGGTGAAATGTCTCAGTGTTTGTTGATGTACCTTTTTGATGGTTGGAGTTGTCTTCTGTTTCTTCTTTGTTGTTGGAGTCTCGTTCCTTAGAGTTCAATGTCTCAATACTTGTTGACATATCTACTTGATCGTTGAATTTCTCTTCGGTTCCTTCTTTGCCATTATAATTTTTTTCGTCAGGGTTAAATGTCTCAGTGTTTGTTGATGTACCTTTTTGATGGTTGGAGTTCTCGTCATTTCCATTAGTTTTTCTTTTGGCTTTAGTGTTTTGTTCTTCAAAGTTCAATGTCTCAATATTTAGTGGTATATCTGCATGATCATTGGATTCCTTTATAGTTTCTTCTTTTGCTTTTGAATCTTGTTTCCCAGGGTTAGATGACTCAATATTTGTTGATTCTTCGATTTGATGGTTGGATTTCTCTTCAGTTCCTTCTTTGCCTTTAGTATTTTGTTCGTCAGGATTAAATGACTCAGTATTTGTTGATGTAACTTTTTGATGGTTGGAGTTCTCTTCTGTTTCTTCTTTGGTGTTGGAGTCTCGTTCCTTAGAGTTAAATGTCTCAATACTTGTTGATATATCTACTTGATCGTTGAATTTCTCTTCAGTTCCTTCTTTGCCATTATAATCCTGTTCGACAGGGTGAAATGTCTCAGTGTTTGTTGATGTACTTATTTGATGGTTGAATTTCTCTTCTGTTCCATCTTTGCCTTTAGAATCTTGTTCCTCAGAATTCAATGTGTTAATGTTTTTTGATTCATCGATTTGATGGTTGGATTTCTCTTCTGTTCCTTCTTTGGCTTTAGTATTTTGTTCCTCAAGGTTAGATGACTCAATGTCTGTTGATTTTCCTATTTTATGGTTGGATTTCTCATTTCCTTCTTTGGTGTTGGAGTCTCGTTCCTTAGAGTTCAATGTCTCAATACTTCTTGGTATATCTACTTGACGATTGAATTTCTCTTCAGTTCCTGCATTGACTTTAGGATCCTGTTCCTCGGAGTTCATTGTCTCAATGTTGGTTGATTCATCGACTTGATGGATGCATATTTCTTCTGTTATTTTTTTGGAATTAGATTCCTGTTCGTCGGGGTTAAATGTCTCAGTGTTTGTTAATGTACGTTTATGATGTTTGGAGTTCTCTTCTGTTCCTACTTTGGTGTTGGAGTCTCGTTCCTTAGATTTCAATGTCTCAATACTTGTTGGTATATCTACTTGATGGTTGAATTTCTCTTCATTTCCTTCTTTGACTTTAGAATCTTGTTCCTCAGAATTCATTGTCTCAGTGTTATTAGATTCATAGACTGGGTGGATACATATCACTTCCGTATCTTTTTTGGCATAAGAATCCTTTTTGTCATGGTTTAATGCTTCAGTGTTTGTTGATGTACCTATTTGATGGTTGGAGTTCTTTTCTGTTCCCTCTTTGCCTTTAGAATCTTGTTCCTCAGAGTTCAATGTGTTAATGTTTGTTGATTCATCGATTTGATGGTTGGATTTCTCTTCAATTCCTTCTTTGGCTTTAGTATTTTGTTCCTCAGGATTAGATGACTCAATGTCTGTTGATTTTCCTATTTGATAGTTGGATTTCTCTTCAGTTCCTTCAATGGTTCTAGGATCTTCTTTCTTAGAGTTCAATGTCTCAATGTTTGCTGATATATCTGCATGATGGTTGGATATCTCTTTATTTTCTTCTTTTGCTTTAGAACCGTTTTCTTCAGCGTTCAATGTCTCAATGTTTGTTGATTCCTCGATATAATAGTTGGATTTCTCATCAGTTCCATCTTTGTCTGTATGTTTTTGTTCCGCAGAGTTTAATGTCTCAATGTCTGTTGATGTACCTATTTGATTGTTGGAATTCTCTTCATTTCCATCAGTTATTATTTTGGCTTCAGTGTTATGTTCTTCAGAGTTCAATGTCTCAATTTTTACTGGTATATCTGCTTGGTGGTTCGATTCCGCTAAAGTTTCTTCCTTTGCTTTTGAATCTTGTTTCCCAGGGTTAGAAGACTCAATGTTTGTTGATTTACCTATTTGATGGTTGGATTTCTCTTCAGTTCCTTCTTTGGGGTTGGAATCTTCTTTCTTAGCGTTTAATGTCTTAACATTTGTTAGTATATCTACTTGGTTGTTGAATTTCTTCTCCTTTCCGTCTTTGGCTTCAGAATCTTCTTTCCCAAGATTCAATGTCTCAGTATTTGCTGGTGTATTTACTCGATGGTTGGATATCACTTCAGCTCCTGTTATGACTTTAGAATCTTGTTCATCGGGGTTCAGTGTCTCAATGTTGGTTGATTCATAAACTGGTTGGCTGCATATCTCTTGCATTCCTTTTTTGGCTATAGAATTTTGTTCCTCGGCGTTAAATTTCTCAATATTTGTTGGTATATCTACTTGTTGGTCGGATTTCTTATCTGTTCCCTTTTTTGCATTAGAATCTTGTTCCCCAGGGTTAAATGTCTTAGTGCTTGTTGGTGAACCTATTTGAAGGTTGGATTTGTCTTTCGCTTCTTTTTGGTCCTTAGAATCTTGTTCCTCAGCGTTCAATGTCTCAATATTTGCTGGTGTATTTACTTGATGGATCGTTTTTACTTCTGAATCGTTTTTGGCTTTGGAACCTTTATCCTCAGAGTTCAATATTTCAATAGTTGCTGGTATGTCTGATTGATGATGTGATGTCTCTTCAAATCCTTCTTTGACTTTAGTATCTTGTTCCTCAGCATTAAATGTCTTAATATTTGCTGATGTATCTATTTGATAGCTTGATTTTTCTTCAGTTCCTTGTTCAGGTATAGCAAATTTTACCTCAGCATTTAATATTTTTGTTTGTTTAGGTATGCCTCTTCTATGGTATATTAGTGTTTCAGTTCCGTCTTCTTCTTTAGAATCTTGTATCCCTGTTTTGGAATTGTCTGCTGAAAAAAATAATCAAGATTTTATTTGGTTCTTTAATCAGTAATTTTATCTTCAAGAACAATAATTCATACTATGAGGAAACGTAGAATATTGTTTCACCTAACATCAATATTAGATCGGATGGACATTTGCTGTAGCAAGCCATAACACTTTTTGTCAAGCCATTTAGAAGAAACGTTTTGCCTCCTTTGGTCACTTCCTTTCCCAGAAGACTATTAATAGTGGTGCTTTTTCCAGATCCACATTCTCCAATGAATAAGACTTCAATAGACGTATTCTGTGTACCTAAAAATCATAATGTTTTGACTTTTTGAGGTTTTTTTAAAAAAATCTACAATAGTATTTATAGACTTCATTCCTTAGTTATAATGATATTGCAGATAAAGGTTTTTTTTTTAATTGCTTTTGTTCGCGGGTATGTAAAGGAAGCTTTCAAATTGTCGTTGACTGAGGTTTTATTGTGTGAAAACTACAATAGCGAAAGTCTTCATTTTCATACCATCTATAACTTACATAAACTTAAGTGTATATGCAAAGTTTGAGGGAAATATACCGTCCAGGTAGTTTTTAAATACAGGTATATTTACCAAAGGATTATGTAGGGAAATGCCAATTTTTAGCACTTTAAAGCAAATTATACCAATGCTACATTAGACTTTTTGTTCAAACTATGATATTTGATGTGTAGTACTATATTATACCATATATGTAAGAAACACAAAATTCTACCTTCTTGTTGCCAGAGGGGGCATCTCAAAATGCCAAAAATTAACGAATTTTCCTGTTTTTATAGAGTGCGCATGGGAAATAAGGAAGCATACAAAATATTCTACCTTGACTTAATCAGTGCGACATTATGAAGTCATAGTTGGCGAGATGACGTCAATTCGAAAACACAAGTTTCGTAATATTGGTATTTAACAATGTAATTTAACTCTAGAAAATGAATAGAAACATAAAAACATTAACAAAAATGAAATGTTCTTATTCTGTTATGCTGTATTCTGTCATTTTGATTGAAATCTACCATCAATGACGTCATATGTGTACAGCAAGTAACTTTGGAATTGATCAGTGTAAAGAGAATTTGGCTAAGGCAACATGTACAAAGATTCGTAAAATGGAGTTTAAAAGCAAATATTGTGAATATTTTGTGAAATTTATATGGAGTTCTGTTAATAAAACAGGTTTGCTAATTTATATTCATCGATTATATTTTTTTTTGAAGACAGTCAGCTATATACGTATCCCGGTCGGCCTCTCCTCTGTCATTTGTGACCAAAAAAAAAAACAGAACAACAATAAGCTGTAAATTTCAAAACATAGGATTTATACAAATGGAAAGTTTAACACCTAAAATACTTGGAACGTGCTGCTAGAATCTCGAGTTAAGCATGGTTTTATGAAAAATCCCTGTTCTAGTGGCATATTTATGCCATCCACATAATTTTTGTCAACGTAAGATATCACGTTAAGTCAAGATAACTATCGCGTCAAGTTTCTGGTTTGTCGTCAAACACCGACTTTATCTTGTACAGTCAAGATAAGCTATCGTATTTTTGCAATAGCTATCTTGACAAAACGAGATAATTTATCTTGTATCGCGATTAAAAGTTATCTCGTCATGTCAAGATGGCTATTGCAACAAAACGTGATAGATAGCTTATCTTGACTTGACAAGATATAAAGTCGGTGTTTGTCGACAAATCAGAAAGTTATCATGACTTGACGCGATAGTTATCTTGATTTGACATGATATGCTATGTTGACGAAAAATTATGTGGATGGCATTAATATGCCACCATAGTATGCTGTTCATATGTAAAAAAAAAAAATCAAAACATCGCATAATGTTTTGTGCGAATGTGTGGAAAATTTATTTTACTGACGGGACATTGGAATTTTAGCAGCACGTTTTAGGCAAAACACATATTTTCAACTACATTATTTACTCAAAGAAATTATTAAACTCCGGAGTATTGTTGTTCTGTTAGCTGTTTTATTAAGGAAATGATGGCGTGGTTGTGGTGCACGTCGTTGCGTTAGACACTATGTTATCTTTATGTAATAAAGAATTATAGTTCACGTTTATCAGCAGTTTTGGTAAATAATCAAACTTAATTTTCTTTAAAATGACTTATATGCCTCCTTAACGTACCTGCGTATAGTACAAAATGTGACGGAAACAAAGGATTCATATGAAAACATAATAAAAATAATGAAGATATTCTCAAATTTCTATGTTTTAAATTTCAAGAGCATATGTTTATTACTTTTTCTTACATAACATTTTATTACCCCTTTCTTTAAGAGCTTCAGTTTATCATAACGTCAAAAACACACTGTAATGACGTCAATCTACCAATCAATTGCAAAATCAGTTAAAAAATCAGTTATATAAAATTGTTATTACATTTTTATACCTATAATTTCTTAATTTTGTTAATTTTAATAATTTAGCGAAAAAAGTTGCTTTTAAACAGTCGATACGCTTCATTTTACTATGATGCGCAATGGAAACCACAGTCGGCCCCTTCAGTTTAATAACTTGCCAAGGCCGCTGATAGAACGTAAACTATTATTTAAGAAATAAATAACAAATTTATAAACTTCAATGTGAATTGAAGTGGATCGGTCACGTGATTAAATCCTGTTAAGGCCGAAGGCCTTCTCATGAGATTTGATCACGTACCGACCCACTTCATTTCCCATTGAAGTTTATAAACTTGTTATTTATTACTTACACACACACACACACATATATATATATATATATATATATATATATATATATATATATATATATATATATATATATATATATATATATATATATATATATATATATATATATATATATATATATATATATATATACATTTGATACAGACAATTCAATATTTTTGAATTTAAATTATGGCACTAACCGTCCGTCGTAGATTTTGAAAAATGACGCAAGGTGTAAATCGGTTTGCATGGCGGTTACGCTTTGAATGCATTAGGTTAAGGAATCTATTTCGAAGGGAATATTTTGTGAAAGGCTACTTGTGATCAGTTATAGTGAACAGATTGTTGTCTGGGAAAATTTTTTTTTCGTGAAAAATGATAATCGATGCTGAAAAGACACAAGAAACACGTCCGAAGTTTGATGATATTCAGATAAAAGGTTGGAGGAATTTCGGTCGCCGGAAAGGGATGGATGGATCCGATGGATTGAGACACTTGTCCGAGCCAGTTAATTTGCAATTTGATCAAAAACATTCTATGGTTTCAGTAACTAAAGGCATACTTATCGTAAAACACTGATAAACACGTAGAAACTAGCGACAGCTTTACATTGAACTGTGAAAACGCCGAGGTGATTGGCAGCTGTTCATGGCATGATTGCAATGATATTTTTCAACAGATTTACACATTTATCGTGAGTAAAATTTAAAGTTAAAATAAAAGTTTATCATGAAAATTTTACCAAAGGTTTTCCTTAAAAAATTAGGATGAACGTTAGAGACTGTGCAGCCGACAAAAGTGAAGAAAAATGTAAACAAAAGCTAGGCTCCTAGTTTTCTCTATGTACACAGGTTGAATCGATAGACCAAAAACTATATGAAATATTTGTTTACATTTAAAATAAAATAATTATCAATTTAATTGTTTATTTTGTTGATTTTTATACATGAAAAGCAAGTAGAGCATGTTATTTTATAATTTATGTATCGGTAGATATTATTGCACCGTGTGATTAGGTCACGTATTGACTTCTGACAAACTTCATACATAATTGAAATTATTATCTCTCTGTATGTTTATATAATGGAGAGATACCACAAATATATTAACAATTGCATAAAACATAAAAATGTGTCTAAGGCAAAGAAGTGCACCATCACCACGGTATCACGTTACTCTATTAATAGCGAAATGTTTCCTAATAAGAAAGCTAACAGAACAACAATACCCCGGAGTTTAATAATTAACTTCTTTGAGTAAATAATATAGTTGAAAAAAAAATCTATTATGCCTTAACAGTGCTGCTAGAATCTCAATGTCCGATAAGTAAATAATTGTTCCACACATTCGCGAGAATCCTTACCCGATGTTTTGAAAATTATACATATGACCCGAGATTTTTTTGTAAAACCATGCTTACCTCGGGATTCTAGCAGCACTTAAATTTCCAAGTATTTTAGAAGTTTAGCTTTCAATCTCTACAGATCTTGTGTTTTGGAATGTCCAGCTAACTGTTGGTTCTTTTGCATTATTTTTGTCACGAATGACAGAGGAAAGGCCTACCGGGAAACGGTAATAGCTGATTGTTTTCGAAAGCAAATAAATAACCGTATACGTTTAATAAACCTTAAACCTTCACTCCCTATAAAATTCACATAGTATTCACGATATTTGCTTCTAAACTACATTTTACGCGTCTTTGAACATGCCTTCTTAGCTAAATTCTCTTTACACAACATTATATATTCCCAACTTATTTGATGTACATTTATGACGTCATCGGTCGTCGATTTAATCCAAATGACAGATACAGCATAACATGATAAATTTTAAATGTTAATTTCTACATTTTTTTATTCATTTTCCTTAACTAAAAACAAATTTAAATATCAATATCACAAAAATTTGTGTTCTGTAATTGACGTCATTTTGCCTACTACGACGTCAAATTGGATCACTGATTTAGTCAAATTAGAATATTCTGAATGCATCATTATCCTGCCTCTGATAAAAATCGTGAAATTTCATTAGTCAAGAGCAATACTGCATGAAACGGTGTTATGCTGTCTACCCACCTCATATTGCTAATGTGCCCCCTCGACGTGACCAACCCACCATATATTTAAAATTTACCAGCCACACATCATCAATATACTGCTTTCCAGGGATGGGGTAATTGAATAAAGTAATTGTAATTGAGTGTAATTAATTACATTTTTCAAAGTAATTGGAAGTAATTTGTATTTGAGCAAGCCTTCAATTACAAGTAATTGAATATATTTAAATACATTTCAAAAAAGGCCATGTATTTTCAATTACTTTTCAATTACATTTCAATTACTTTTTTGCAAAATAAAGTTTATATTTAAAAAGGTGTCTTATACTGATACATAGTTTTATACTAGTGGGTTTATATTACTTATTCCCATGTTTTATAAATCTCAGTTCATCCTATTCCCACTTGCAAATAACAATGATTGTTTAGATAGTTAATTTGTTTTACAGTAATTAGACAAACTACATCCCCTTTTAGATTTACCTGTATTCTATTCATTTTAAGATAGAAAATAATGAATGGAATTGTGATAGATATTATTCATTTCCTTCAAAAATATGGATTTGAGAAAGTAACAAAAAAGATCATGCCATACATCATACTGGTGTAGCATGGGTTTGTGTTTGTAAAATAATTAATTGTCTCATAATGTTTAATTTGTTTATACAGTGTGTCACACTCATTATAAAGTAAAGGTCTAATTTTGACCAGGTGTGAACCCCTATCATACCCAAGAACAAAAACACTGAATGAAAGTTCGAATTCGATCGCTATAGAAAAAATCTTAATTAAAAAAATTTTTTTTTTTTTATAAAAATAAAACTCAAAGTAATTGAAATGTATTTAATTACATTTGTCAAAGTAATTGAAAGTAATTAATTACATTTGAAAAAATCAATGTAATTGTAATTGCAAGTAATTGACAAAATTATCAATGTATTTGAAAGTAATTAATTACATTTCAAAGTAATTGACCCCAAGCCTGCTGTTTTCATGTGACCCGCATGGAGCTTCATCACTGACGTCCTTGCCCAATATGGATTTTATCAAGGACCCCTATGGAACGCCATCACTGCCTTATAGCATAAAACTATGCATTCATTATGTCAATCTATCATCACGTGATGTGAACATATCTTTACGTTATGTCAATTTTTATGGGGTGTTGTAAAAATGTCTTTACATCATGTCAATGCTTCATTACATGAAGTGAACACATTCTTCCATTATGTCAGCACTTCATAACTTGAAGTCCAAAGTTCATTATGTGAAGTGAAAATATGTTTACATTGTGCTAAAACTTTATTACGTGAAATGAATGTATGTTAATATTATTTCATTTCTTTAATATGCGAGGTCAAAATTGCATTACGTCAAGTGAATTTCGTTTTACATGTGTTCTATGATTAAATTTATCATAACGTTAAGTCAAAGTTCATTCCCTTGTGTGAGTGTATATTTCTATAATAACAAAGCATTATTACGTGATGTAAATGTATCTTTATTTTACGTCGAGGTCATCACAATGTTAGGTGAAAACATCTTACCTTTATGTCGGTGCTTTATTACGTGATGTAAAAAGGTTTATAACATAATGTGAACATATATTATGGAGACAGCCCCGGCGTTCCATATTATATCAACACTTTATTACATTATGTCACTACTCCATTCCGTGATGTGGATATATAATTACGTTATGTCAAATCTTTCTTATATGATTTAAGAATATCTTTATATTGTGTTAACTCTTCATCATGTTGATTCAAATGTTCATTACGTGGTGTAAAATACATTTACATTATGTCAAAGTTGATAACCGTGTTTTCACGACGGGAAAGGGGGGGGGGTGTTCTGATTAATTAGGACGAATTAGAGACACATTATATAAGGGGGGTCTGGTTTCCTCTTTTTTTCCGACATAATTTTATCATAGAAAATGTTTATTGAAGGGGTTTGAAATTCCGCCCCACTTTTTGCTGAAGTATCAGGGAATTTTTTTTAGGACTGATCGAAATTGGACCCCCCCCCCCTCCCCTTTCACCCAAATAGGATTTTTGAGTTTGGACGTTATATTTTTCCTGGCTGACAAACCTCCTCCAACTTTCAAAAACGATGCAACGTCACTGGAACTAGTCATTTTTCAACCATTCCAGGTCCAGAATTCTGTTACAAAATTCTACCAGTCCCTCACTGGTTCTTGAAAAAGAGTAGCTATAGAGGAACGGTATGGTGTCTAAGTTGGGGACCAGGGGGTGAAAGCCTGGAAGCTCTCAGGCTTTAGTGTTTTTTTTTTATATATAAAACGTTTCAACTTATTTCGGTTATACTTTATGTGAAACTAATGCAATGTCCTACAAAGTAAAACCAATTGATTAATTTCATGCATATTTTGGTCACTAAAGATGAGAGGGGGGACCCCCCTCTCCCCACCCACACATCGGTGCACGTATGAAATGCGAAAGACAAAGGAGGGTTAAAGACTGATAAAAAGCTTAGGACAGTGTTTTGTAGTTAGATCAGAAGTTTCGGACTTTTCAAAATAAAATGAAAAAAATTGCTGCATTACACATTCTATTTGATTTGCGATAATTATGAGATTAAACGGCCATTGATTGAATTTCGACGTTAAAAAAAAACAATCGTCAATAAAGATTCCACGGGAACATGATCCTATTTATAAATTTTAACCTGATATTTAATTAAGGAATTACTAAGTCTTGTATATAATTTAATATTTGATATATTTAATTTAAATTATTTGCATGTTTAACATATGTGCAAGTAATATTGAAAACACGAAACGAACTTTTAGGCATAACCTAAACCTTACGTCACACAATAAAGAGTTGAAATATTCTAAGATATACTGACAAGAGGCTAACCATTTTAGACACAATATAAAGATACAATGGCATAACATAATAATGATTTGTCAAAAAGTTAGGAAAAATTGACATCATGTAATGAACTACTAAGACCAAATAGTAGAGTGTGCACATAATGTAATAATGAGTTGAAAATATATAAAAACATCTTTACACCACGTAAAATTGTTTTGACTTAATGTCATAAAGAGCTGATATAATGCAATAGAAGATTGGCGTAATGTAATTAAAGTGCGAGTTAATGCCATAAAGACTAAACATAATGTAATGGAAAGTTGACATAACGCAATAGTAGTGTGTGTAAATGTCATAAAGAGTTGACATAATGCAATGAAAGATTGACACAATGCAATAGTAGTGTGGACTAATGTCATAAAGAGAGTTGACACAATATAATGGAAGGTTGACATAATGCAATAGTATTGTGGGTTAATGTCATAAAGAGTTGACATAATGTAATGAAATGTTGACATAATACAATAGTATTGTGGGTCTATATAATAAAGAGTTGACATAATGTAATGAAAGGTTGACACAATACAATAGTAGGTTGTGTGAATATCATAAAGAGTTAACATAATGTAATCGTAGGTTGACACAATGCAATAGCAGTGTGAGTAAATGTCATAAAGTGTTCACATAATGTCATGGAAGGATGACGCAATGCAATTGTTGTGTTCTCCTATAAGGCAGTGACGGCGTTCCATAGACCCCACATATTTCCGCATTACTCCTCTATGTGTCTACATAAATAATATTATTACCCCTGCATTGCATTCTAAATATATCGGTCTTCTTAAAGCAAACATATTCTCTTATTTCAATCATGGTATAATTTTGTGAATGTCTTTATACCGAAGATGTCTATAAAAATTAATGGACAGTAGTGCTTTACTTTGCAAATATTTTCTATATCATTACCTAGACAGTAATAGGTAAGATTATTAACTTAAAAAATACGCATATTCAATTTGATGAATGGCAAACATATACAACATTTTGGGGGATAACTCTTGCGATATCAAGTAAATTTTAAGTGACGTCCAATTTGACGTTGATGATAAAACGTTGAAATGATATTATATATATATACAGTCTTTGACACATAAGGATTAGGAGATAATAATGTGAAAATGGTAAGTTGCAAAAAATTAAATTAAGCTACTCCGATCCTCAGGTTCCAAAAATCAAGCGTTGACTAATTGAAAATGCTCACAAAAATGTCTCTGAATTTTCAAAGCAACGTGTTTTTACCCATAGTAATTATTCAAACTTCATCTTTCAATTTAATCATATTATTTAGAAAAAATTAGTAGATTTCAAGTTTGTTTAAAGTCATTGAATATAACACCTGCATTTTCCAATTCAAATTTGGGCTTTCGAAGATATTCCACAGTTTTTATACATATAATGTCATTTAATTTCTTTTATTTACTTCGATCATTTTACAATGCAAAGTGTATAAAGTTTCTCTTGTCATTGCAAAGCTCCATAATTAATTATAATTTCATATCATGTAAATAAACATTGGTATCTATGATAAGATAAAAATGAACATCAATCTCTTGATATATTTTAATTTTAAAATGCTTTTACGGGGTAAAAATTTCGACTTTTAATTAGACCTTTCTGAGAACTTCAAAGAACCTTGGAGCACATTGAGAAATGAAGATTGTTGCATGAAAAGATTTATTTTTCAAGCTTCATTTTAAGACTTTTTAAATTGAATTATAAATTAAAGAGTCCTTCCTGGTTGAGGATAGGAGTCCCTTAAATAGAATTAGATCGAAATGTTTGAAGATGGGGTACATACTAGTATCAGGTAGGTGTCTGATTGGGAAAACATAAAAATCTGTATTTCTTTCACAAGCAAAGTTATTCTTTTCATACATCAAGTTTTAAAAATGGGCAATATTAAATATATAAATACAAAAGCAAAGACAATATATATGTGTATTACTTGCTGCCGCCATTTCGCTTTTATGTTAAAGCCACGTCGTGATTTTTTTTTCTTTTTATAGAATAGCGAATCAGATTTGTGTACGAATATTAAAGGGGCTTATCAGCACCGCGGTATATGTAGTGTAGTGGATCATTGCACATAAAATAATAGGCATACCCTTTTTGGGTTGTTTCTCTTCAAAACATGGCAGAAGGTAAAAATAATATTCTTCTATTCTTTTAATACAAAATTTAAAAAATATAAAAGGTAAACAAAAGCTATCTATTATTACTCCTCTACTGTTATAGAATGGGTGTATGTTCCAGAATTATGTTTTATAAATCATTTTTTATTAGCGAAAAATAACATCAAATGAAGGAAAATTAGAAAAATATATATTTATAGTATGGTCGATTCAGGTCATTTTTTTTTAGCTTCTGCGTGAAGAATATGGAGATAACGAACAGTATTCAATGTCAAAACTAATAAAACAATACAAAATAGGAGCAGAGAAAACTACGGACCTTCAAAATATCAGAGGTGGGATCAGGTGCCATGAAGGAGTGAATATCCACTGCCGAATTGTCACACCCTCTGCGTGTGCTCGATGTCGGAAAATAAGGGTTAATTCCGTCGTCAATTCACTGTATAAAAATGGACTAACAATTAGTTTTAACAAGCAAATTCAAAGAATTGTGGTCCCCCGCTTTCGGTGTCTTTGTTGGTGAGATGTTATTTTTTATGACATATTGTGTGTAATATGAACATCCTATCATATGTCATTTCATAGAAATTATCATTGAAGTTGATTTTTTTGGAGGATGAAAACCCTTATCCTGACCGTTAAAAAGTTATGGCCAAAGTTAACGTTTTATAAAAGTAGGTCAACTCCAAGGTCAAGATCAAAGGGTAAAAGTTGTTGATGAAAGGTTTTCTCACAAGGATTACATATGTGAAGTATGAAAGCCCTAGCCCTTACCGTTCAAAAGTTGTGGTCAAGGTTAAAGTTTTTACATAAGTACGTAAATCTTTAAGGTCAAGGTCAAAAGGTCAAAGTTGTTGATATCCAATGAAAGGACTTGCCACAAAGAATACATATGTGAAATATAAAAGTCCTAGTATCTACCGTTCAAAAGTTGTGACCAAAGTTAAAGTTTTTTAAAAAAGTAGTTAAAACTCCAATGTCAAGATCAAAGGGTAAAAGTTGTTGGTATCCAATAAAAGATCTTCTTAAACCAAGTACGAAAGCCCTACCCCTAACCGTTCAAAAGTTATGGTCAAGGTTAAAGTTTTTTCATAAGTATGTAAGTCTCCAAGGTCAAGGTTGTTGGTATCCAATGAAATGTCTTGCAACAAGGAATACATATGTGAAATATAAAAGTCCTAGTATCTACTGTTTAAAAGTTGTGACCAAGGTTAAAGTTTTTAAAAAGTAGTTAAAACTCCAAGGTCAAGGTCAAAGGGTAAAAGTTCTTGGTATCCAATAAAAGGTCTTCTCACAAGGATAACATATGTGAAGTACGAAAGCCTTAGTCCTCACCGTTCAAAACTTATGGTCAAGGTTAACGTTTTTTCATAAGTACGTAAATCTCCAAGGTCAAGGTTGTTGGTATCCAATGAAAGGTCTTGCCACAAACAATATATTTGTGAAATATGAAAGTCTTAGTACCATCCATTCCAAAGTTATGGCCAAAGTAAAAATTTGAAATTTCTGTGTAAAAGTGGGTCAAACTCCAAGGTCAAGGTCAAAAGGTCAAATTGGTGGTACCCAAAGAAAGGCCTTGTCACAAGGAATACACATGTGAAATATGAAAGTCATAGCTCTACTAAATCAAAAGTTTGGGCAAGGTTTAAGTTTTTGTGACGGACAGACTGACAGACGGAGAGCTAGACAGACGGAGAGACGAATGAGATTTAATGTCCCCTCGCTTTCGCGAAAGCGGGGGACAAAAACGTCAGTCAGCATTTGACTCTATAATAAATTGTATTTGCTGACAAGGTTATTGTATCTGCCTTTTGATAAACATTATGCGTTTCATTCTCAAAAGAAGCAGAGTGTATTGAACTGTTTTTAGAGGTTAAGTTCTTGAAGATATACGATAGGGGTAAAATTACAAATTTTTATTGGATTTAATTTTTCTTCGCGCTAAAGAAATGCGTGATTTACAATCAAAATATTTCTTTTGTCGTGTAATTCTTGCAAAACATTTTATATATGTCCTGAGATCATCGAGCGATGATCATCCCAAAATCAGAACCTAGATTGCACTGTAAAACCTTTAACAAGGATTCTAAATGGAAAGATTTTTAAAAGTTTAATTACTATATTTAAGGCCTTTTCATATTTAGAGAAAAGAATATATTTACATGTAAAAATAAAAATTATGCATTAGAAGATTTAATACATCTGCTGGATGTGTGTGTGAGTGTGTGTTTTTTACATCATGACAAATATGTAGATGTACATTAAGACCATCATGCAATAGCTTTAGAGTTGATTTTGTCTTGTTGAGAAAACACTGTAAAATACTCTGCGACCGTTTCCTATCATAGTTAATACACGATATATGGATAGATTTATAACATTATATTTTTTTTGTTAATTATATTTCATTTTCGATGTATAAAATTCATACGATTCACAATATTTTCACATTGTTACAAATTTATATAAAGTTGCTAATGTTTGTTTCTTTTTTCATCGGATGAAGTTGTACAATTGATCCTTTACTGTAGATATATACTCAGAGACTTAAAAAACGCTTATATAAAAATGTCCTGTGAAACAAATTCACAATTTAGATTTTATAATACCTTGCCTATGTATTTTGTTTTAATCATTTTGGCATGTATCAATATCATTGATAGACGACGTTTTAAACACTTATGGAGTTAACATCTTGGAATTCCCAGCTCGATCTCCCGACCTTAACCCAATGAAACACATGTGGGACGAGCTTGGAAGACGTTTAAAAAGACGTCAACGCCAAACCGCAAACGTACCAGAATTAGCACAGGCTCTACAGGAAGAGTGGAATAACATTCCTTTGAGACAATTCGATATGTATGCCAACCCATGAGGTCCCGCTTGAGAGCATGTAAAGTTGAAAATGGTGGTCATACACGTTGCTAATCAAAACGGCAAAAATTGTTGACAGTGTAATTTTAACTGTTTATCTTGAAAAAGCTCAGTTAAAACAATTCGATGACTGTATTGGAAATGAAAACATTTCCTGGAAAATTATGATTTTTTAATGAATTTACTACAGCATGTAACATAATGTACCAATGACAATAAGAACAATTTCAATAGGCGTTTTGAATACGGCATGTCAAACGTTGCTATATTCGATAATCTTGTGATGTATATTCAAAATCTTGTGATGTTTGTTCGAAATCTTGTGATGTATATTCAAAATCTTGTGATGTATATTCTAAATCTTGTGATGTATATTCAAAATCTTGTGATGTATGTTCAATATCTTGTGATGTATATTCGAAATCTTGTGATGTATATTCTTTAATCTTGTGATGTTTGTTCAATATCTTGTGATGTATATTCGAAATCTTGTGATGTATATTCTATAATCTTGTGATGTATTTTCTATAATCTTGTGATGTACGAGTATATTCAATATCTTGTGATGTATATTCGAAATCTTGTGATGTATGTCCAATAATCTTGTGATGTATGTTCAATAATCTTGTGACGTATATTCGAAATCTTGTGATGTGTGTTCTACAATCTAGTGATGCGTGCAATAATATTGCATTATGGGTAATATGACGCAACAGTTTTATAAAAAAAATAAGGACAATTTTCATTGGTTAGAAATAACAAAAGTAGCTGGAGCGGCGATTGTTATCGTGATGCAAACAACTTTGCAAGTATGAAATTGGCGAATTCAACCTTAAGTCGAAATTATAACTAATACTATAGTGAGACAGTATTGTAAAAATGTATTGTTTTGGAACAGCATCACGATTATAAGTCATAACGATTAACGTGAAAATACAAACGGTAGCAGCATCAAAATGTCTATCTGCTGGAGAATGTTTTATCCTGTTTCAGGTCCTCATATTGATATGATAGGGATTAATTGTAAATTGATACGATTTTTTAAAATCATAAACTCCTTTAAGTTTAATATAATCATCATTATGAGATTGAAATAGACTTAGGTCAGATTTTGACCTTCTTGTACTTCGTCTACAAAAAAAAAACAATGCTTTATGTAGAAAAATTTAATGATTACAGAGTCGGGAGTTAATTTTCGTCACGTTGACAACATGCAGACAGACAGCTAGACAATCAGGACAAAAACAATATACCCCCAGGATCTTTCGATCCAGGGGCATAAATATAAAGCTAGTCGAAAAGCAAAAAATCTATCTCAAACTGGTCATTCAAAGCTAATCCCCATCATTATATACACCATCCATAAGTTAATTTGGTTAAAATATGGCTAAGTTTACTCTTCTGGAAAATGTAGGTCAGATCCAGCATCGAAGCAAGTATGGTAGTGTACATCCTTAGATACATCATTCATGCAAGTTTGGTTCAGATAGAGCTTATAGTTACATGGTAATGCCTAATGGACCTACTAATCTTGAACCTGGTCACTCATCTGGAAAATAAGGGTCAGATCCAGTATCCAAAGCAGCAGGTCTGTAAGTGCCTAGATGCAAATTTGGTCCAGATAGAGCTTATAGTTACATGGTAATGCCTAATGGACCTACTAAACTTGAACCTGGTCACTAATCTGGAAAATAAAGGTCAGATCCAGTATCCAAAGCAGCAGGTCTGTAAGTGCCTAGATGCAAATTTGGTCCAGATAGAGGTTATAGTTACATGGTAATGCATAATGGACCTACTAAACTTGAACCTGGTCACTCATCTGGAAAATAAAGGTCAGATCCAGTATCCAAAGCAGCAGGTCTGTAAGTGCCTAGATGCAAATTTGGTCCAGATAGAGCTTATAGTTACATGGTAATGCCTAATGGACCTACTAATCTTGAACCTGGTCACTC